ATTCAAGCAATCAAACTGGACAATAGAGATAGTTTTCAGCTCTAGCAATGGGTGTCAGAACGCAGCATGTGAAAAGTGCTGATATTCTTCATGTATGGATTTGATATCCACCCTGTGCACAGGCCTATTCCCAAACCACTGCTGCTAATTTTTTTGTCTTTTGAACTAGGTGCCAGTGGCTGATAAAACATACAGCATATCATCTTAATACAGCACTTACACTGTTTTTATTCCTCATTTTTAAGTCCCCCAGAACATCAATTCTTTCCAATTGTTGGTCGAGAAGAAAAGAAAGTTCAATAGAGCACACATTAGCATCGCTGCCCCTCTACTGCCCAGGGGGGAATCCAGGTCTGACCAGGGCGACTCCACACAGTGAACATGAGTGTCTCCTATGCCAACACGTGTACAGAGGGAAAGTGATCAGATCCCAGTTTCGGAGTGATGGGCTAGGGCAGGAGAGCTCGAAGAAGCTGTAAATTTACTTTTGTTCTGGGTCTAATGAAATAATTTGGTATCCATTAGAGGGCAGCATTAGAACAAAAACTAAGCACAGCAAGGGAGCTATCCCCTGCAGAGACAAGCACCTTGGCCGAGGTAAACTTTTTTAATGCAGTAATATTTTATAAGGGTAAAGCCAGTGAATGAAGAAAGCTAAGTAATGGAGAAGATGGGAGCAACTCTTACTGTTAGAGAAAAAGGACACAGGGTCCGCGGGCCAACTCAGCCTTGGGGAGTTTGGAGTGCCTACATTAACTCACTGTAATCCCCCTTTTCAGAGCTAAAGTGAGAATACTTCTTGTCTTGAGCTTAATGATCCTGTATTTTTCTGACGGTGTTTCTGATGGAATCACAATGAATTGTAATAGTGATCAGATTATTGTTTTCTTAAAAAGTGAATCATCATGTATTGTGGGTTATACTGAAATTACTCTAATTGGTCTAATTTTTATTTATTAGAAACAAATTGTTCTAGAACTAAAGCCAGTTTTTAATGATCCAAAACAGAAATAAATGTTCTAGTCTATTAGCGTCCTATATGGAATAAATCAATATTAAAGCTAATTAACCCTTTTCAAAGGCATTTTGTCCCAGGTTTTTATTTAATGGTTCAGTGCTGCTTAAAGCATGGATCAAGCTGGATAAGCTCCATTTAAAAAATGGCCCATTTTGAAACCAGTTTAGCAGCTCGCTATGACGAATATATTTATCAGGATAAACTTGACTTTTTTTCAACTGTATAAATAACAGACCGGGTTCCTGAAAAGACTTGATAATAAAACAGAGATTAAGGGCAACTGACACATTTGTCCATTTAGCAATATTATAACATTATAGTAACTGACTTAATTGATTGCTTTAAAAAATATTTATCTGTAGACATATTTTCAATCTCTGCTTTTGAGGATATTCCAAAGGGAGAAGGAATCTCCATATAAGATATTTCATTCTAGGTCATATGTGAAATGCAAACCTATGATTTGTCCTTTTTGGAAGAAGCCATGATTTTTTAATAGTGTTCAAACACATAGTGCAAAGCATACACCTTTGAGGTATAAATGACTACTTTGACATATGAAACCCAATGAAAATTATATACATTATTTAAGGAACTCGGCACACTTCCCCTTTTGTTATACTGGCAAATCACAGAATATACTTTAATATCAAGCTATTTTTGAGTTATAAAATAGATGATCTATTTGTACATGAATTAAATTCCTCACGGTAGCAGAGGAATTAATTTGTGATGTTATGAAATTTTGATTAGCCCGCTGTAAAATCAGAATTGTTTACCACAAGTGTCTGGATTCTGACTCTTACTGTCTTTCCAAACAAATAATGAAATAAACTGGAGTGGGGGGTGGGGGGCAGAGCAATTTATAAAAACATGGTACACCATAATTTTGCCATTTTTCTGCAATAAGGATGGCAAATGATTCATGGGAGAAAATGAAATATTTCTCACTGTCATTTCAATGGATCTAAGATTTACAGCTTCTTAGGAAAAACTCTGTGTGCATAAAAATGAATTGTACATCAATTAATGATGGAGATCAAAAACAACAACAAAATTTGATTTTAACTAAAGAAAAAAAAATCTAACAAGAGACAAATTAAAAGGGAGAAGCAGCAGCTCTTTACTTTAAGACCTTTGAAGGAAGGAGGTGGTGAGAGAGACCTCACTCCAAACAGGGCAGTGAGGTCAAGTCAGGGAAAAGTGACATGTCGATCCAGTGCCTTGCATTCAGACTGCTGAGACACACACGAGGAGGAAGCTTTTCAAGCAACATCAGATATGCCTACATTGGATTTTTAAAAATCCCAAAAAAGTTATACCCAGTTTTACAGTATAAGGTTAAAACAAATAAAGAAATCTGGCGATGGAAAACACAGACTCCAATTCAAGATTCTCTTTCACCAAAACTTTTTTTTTAATAGGTACCAGGGCCAAAAAAAAAGAAAAAAATTTTTTTCTTTTTACACCTCCCACCTCCTTGAGACACCACACTGAAGGAAAGCTGGCAGCAGCCACTGAAGACGTGAACCTGGACCCTACAGGAGTCACTGCACCTGGGAAATGAGAGCAGACACTCTGCTTGAGACACAGAACAGTGGGCTTGGATGGCTCCGAAGCTGGTGGAACCCCTGGTGGCATGTGCTATGCTCCAACCCCCACGGTGGGCGCTGAGACTCAATCCTCCTGTCTCTTCCACTGAAACATGACATCACCTGTGACTGTAAGAGACACACCTCGGCTCCCAGTTTCAAACAACTCCAATGTGAATGCAGTTAACTCACAAGGAACCCATGGCAGGGTTTGCTAAGCAATGCAATTCGATGCCCAATGTGGAGAACAAAGATGGCCCTGATGATTTTGCTGAAGTGGTTTTGCGTAGGTCAAATAAATCTGATTATTCTGGGTGAGGTGTTTAACAAAATGCGCTGATATTTATTGCTTTTTGCAAAGGGCCCACAGCCTTCTTTGCGTGGGATCTGCAGAACGATCCCTGGTGTCATCATGGCTCACATATATCATGTTAAGTGCGTGTTTTTCACAAGTTTGGTAGCTAATTAGAGACCTAAAATAAAAAGTACAGCGCAAAAGGCTCATCAACTCCATCTCCTCCACCGACATCCTCTCATTATGAGGGTGCCATATCAATTTAAAACTTCCGTTGTGTCCTTCCTTCATAAGTCAAATGTCATCGGATGAAAGCTGACACCAGTGATAACGTGGCGCTGACAAAGACGGCAGATATTGATGCCAGTGCCCATTTCTCACGGACTATCACAAACTCTGTACATTTCAAAAACGGGGAGCCATCTATTTTGACAAATTTTATGTTGACAAATTTTAAAGTGCTATACAATGTGATGAGCTGGATCAATGGACAATGTTTTGAGCTGCCATGTATTTTTTCCCAGGCACTGAACAAACAGTTCGTTGTTGCCAGTCTGTGTGGGAACCCGGCGTTGGGCACTCCAGGCGAGGCCGGGCTCGCAGAACCAGCAGCGCCTCGAGCCCACAAATGGCGCGCGTGCTCCACACCCGCGTGTGGATTAAAACCTATAAAACAACATGGGCGTTATAAAACTTGTGTTAAAACTGATAACAGCTTTACTGATTTACTGACAATGAAAATATATAGCGTTTTTTCTGTCGGAGCATTTATCAACACTTGGCAACCCTGTACTAACTTGACATGTGAGATGATCAAAATGGATTATGTAATCTTTCCCATTCATTTCTATTGATTTTAGTTATGATAAAATTCATCAGTGTGCCTGGGAACCCTCAGGCTGAAAGGCAATGGCAGACACAAAAAAAAAGGGAAAGGAAAAAAAGAATTCAGCTGAGTTGTAATAGGATGAATGTAATTTTAGAATAGGATTGCACAAATACAGACGTCATGCCCTAAAGGCTCCGGCAACAAATTAATACAAATAATCCTGGCAGCCTCAAAATTACATCTGTCTATGCAGAGATTTACTTTTGAGATCAAATTACAAAATTTCAAGCTAAAAGAATGAGTATGTAAGTGCCATTAAAAACACAGTTTGCAAAAATATTTTCAAACTTTCTAGAAACTTCAACAGTAATCCAAGTTATTTCTCTGACTGCAAGTAACATCAAAATGCCAGCAAACGGACCATTTTAATCAGTTTTATTGATTCATGCTTTCAGTTCTTATTCTGTTAAAAACAAGGCACATTAAATACATCCTCTTATCGCTCTATCAATGCATGCAGCTCATTCTGTATATCAAAAGTAATAAATAATGGCGATAAAACACCAAGACAGTTATAAAAATGACAACCCAGCCTCCAACACAGTATTTAACAGTCCAGTCTAGAACAATAACCCAACATGATACATAAAAGTGCCACACATGAAACATGCAGTGTGTACATCCACTTCGGTGCTGGGCTTATACCTGATCTTCTTTAAAAACACAGTAGGGCTCTTTTCCTCCCTAAAAATGGGTTGACATATGCAAAACAGTGCAGGTTATAGCGCCATTGACATCAATAGTATTACATCTATACGCCCCAAATCTTTACAAATACATAAAAAAGAAGGAAGTAAGATCAAGGATCATTCTTACAGTATGTTTAGTAAAAGTCAGAATAAAATTTTCATTGTGCAAAAGAGTAAGGTACATAATTTGGAAAAGACAAAAAGAAGCTAGACGCTAAAGCAGAACCAGGAGCATGCCTTGCACAGCAGAAACCCTAAAGTTACACTCACTATAAACTGAAAGCAAGAATATTGCCAACAGCATGACGGATATGAGGCAGGCAACCTTGGCTTAGCAAATAATCCAGCATGATGACTACTGACCGACTGTGGCACGGGCTACAGGAGCCTCCGGCCCCCCACCACAGAGGGGGGTTCCTTCACCCGAATCCCCTTAAGGCTCTTGAAAGAAATCACTTAATTGATAAAAGACAATCTAGGCCCACCCCACCCCCACCCCAACAGCATCATCTACATCACATTTATATGAAAAGGAAAAAAAAATGCTTCTGCTCTTGGAGTAGGTTTTGAAGGAACGTATCCCCCTATTTCTTTTCTCCTTTTCTGAAATCAGGTAGAGAGGCTGTACAGGTTTAATTAAGAACTTACACAAAAATGTGGGGTGCTTTATTCACAGTAAAGACTTGGAACCAGCTCATTTCCAAGACGAGTCTCTGGGATCGATGAAGGAGCGTATGTTTTAGAATTAGCAGATTTTAAGCAAAAGCAAATATGCTCAAAAGAAGAAAAGTGTGCTTTTCTTTGTCCTTAAAGGAACTTCACTCACAGTGAAGTGCGCACAGCGAGGCCTGTGTTACAAAGACAGCTCTGCCAGGCCAGGCAGGTTTGCAGAGGGTCCCTACTGCAGCGGATTCAGGGAAGGTACAAGCCATCCTTTCCACCTTTCTAACCAGAACAAGAGAAAGAAAGAGCGAGCGCACACATGGACCATATTGTGGTGCATCCTCTGTAATGTGTTAAAGGACAGCTCCTCTCTCTATGAAATGTCACTGGATTCTAAACAGTGAAATTTATTGTCTTGATAGAAAAACACTAAATTACAAAGCCACGAGCTTTCATTATTAAAAAAAAAAAGAGAAAAATAGCCATTGTAAAAAATTCATGCCTTGGAAGAAAAACTTCACAGTGGTACCTGGGAGCGTCACTTGCTCTATTTTCGGTTTACCTTTCCAAGTGGCAAGTCTAAAACATTCTTTAAAAACAAAATGAGTTAAGAGGCTATTTGCTTCAGAGGTGAGGGTGGTGCTTAAGTGAGTGAATTTCCAGTGTTTATATTATGACATCCAGGCTCACGGCCCACTAGAATGAGGCATACAGATATTCTATGCTGACATAAACAGAAATAACAGCACAGAACACAGCTATGAATAATGATTGCTACCAGTTTTAAAAACTAAGATCTTAAGTCTGTGCAATGAAAACCTGACATTAAATAAAGGGTTAGATTTCCTATCACATGCACAACCTGATCTTGAGACACAAGAAGTAGGTAGCTAACTTCACAAGAGGCAGCACAATAAATAAATATTCAGATGACTGGCTAAAATGCCACCAAAATATTGCAAAAGCGTACCAAAATGGCCCTTTAAATTCAACTCATTGTTAAATGCAATACAGACTGATTCTTGTTTGTGTTTTGTGCCTGTGTGAGTGTTGGGGGAGAACGTGTGAGAGTGTGATTTGTGTGTGATTTTATTTTTCTCTTTTTCTTTTTGGTAGATCGAGAACTTTTCCATTGAGTCCAGAATGGGAGCGGCTTTGTAGTAACCAACAGACCTTGAGTGTTAGACCTTTCTACAAATAATTATAAATAAAGTTACCAAAGGGCTATTTGTATTCTCGTTTCTACCTGTTTACAAATACTACCCCCAAGAGATATGCAATAAACAAAGCAAAATATTACATGCTTTAAGATTTAGGGGGCTAAAAACTGTGCTATCCTATGTAGATGCTTATTAACACAGGTTTTAACCCTTAAATTATTACTACTGTAAAGATTTGAGAAATTTAGTCTCATCCCGTTACATCCAACTTGCCATTGAAATGCTGGTTTTAAAGTAAAAAAAAAAAGGAAGAATTTTCCTGGCAACTATAGTAGTCAAAGAAAAACCAGCAGTGACTGAGGAAAAAAATGAATTGCTGAGATGAAATTATCACTGTAACTCCCAGCAAATGCCACTGCCATCCTTATCTTACACCTGCGATTCCGGAAGCGTTCAGAGTTTCTCTTTCAGACTTGCTTCTGGAACCAGATCTACATTCCTCCCCTCCCCAGGGTGCCAGGCGTGCTCCAGATATGCACCTGCAGGACAGTTCGGGCGGGAAGGCAGACGAGCTGGAGGAAGGGGCTGGGAGGTCTCCAGAAACTATTACTTCAATAGGCCACTCCCCACTTCATTTCTTTTAACAATACTATCTACAAGCTGAATGTCCAGAGCTTTGTGTATGTCACAAAATTTTTCCAGCTTCTTCTTTCAATTTCAGCCAAAATATTCTGTCTCTAGAACTGAATTGGAATAAATGAACAAATACACAAAAAGGGAGCATGTCCAGGCTAACAGGTCACAAAATGGATACAAAACATTAAGTCAGGGTGCATCGGAAATGAGAAAAAAGATAAAATACACTTTCTAGAAGCTAGAGTGAATGGCAAATGCAGATAAAGGGTATACATCAACATCCTAAAGCTTTGGAATGTTTCCCAGTGTTAAAAAGAAAAAGAAAAAAAAAAGGCAGCTATCCATATCCACTATTTTGGAGTGTTGTATTTTGTAACTGTTGTTACAGGACGATCTGTTGTTCTGTGCTTGCCGGCCGAGGAGTCACTGCTCACACTCACAACCCTCCACAACTTCGGTCCACTGGAATGGGAACTCTTCGGTCCAGGTTCTCTTCGGCCGTTTTCATCAGTATCGCCAGGCGGCTCCCAGACACCCTTCCTTTCTGAATGGCACTCATCAGCTTAAAGAGAACACATGCACGGCATTCAGAAGGCAGCCTGGCTTACTCCCGCCTTCACGGCATTTGAATGCTCACCTTTGTACAGGCGGAGGTCAGTAAGTGCTCCACCAAGAGCCCTAGCAGGTCCTACAGCTCGAAGAAGAAGCTTGAATATTTCAGAAATGAAGGTAGGGGCAGGTGTTTCACCGTTGCTGCAAGAACCATGCCCACCTCGCGAAATCAGCCTGCCTTTAAATGCAAATTGAACACACCACTCTTTTGCCCCTTAACATGCTCAGGACACATACATTTTTCAGCAACTCAAATATTGGATCTTGAGGTCTATTTAAAAATCTTAAAGATGAATCTCAGGGATTGAACAAAGACAAACCATGATCTATATTTAACTACTCTTTTTTTAAGTTACTGTACTTGACAACTTCAAGTCTCCTAAATCCAAATTCCTTAAAGACTCGATAAAGTAATTTACATTTAAGTCCTTGAAAATGGACCTAGAGATCTACCTTAAGAATTAAAAGCACTCCGCAGCTGAGATTTTAGCTAATTCATTTTGATCCAATGGATAAAATCAGAATTAGTTTTGAAATGACATGCAGTCAGCGGGCAAAGGCCTTTCATCTTAAAGGCATTTTGCAATTATGAGCACGGGGATTTTCTTTTTTTTTCCTTTTTAAGTTTATGTGGTTTTAACTATTTGCTTTTCTTGATATCACTTCCCCAAGCTTCTAATTTATTTATTTTTAAAGAGCTGATTTAGCCATTCACCAGATAAATATATAACATATTTTCCAGGATTCTAGTTTCTAGCTTACAGAGATACATTTCTTTAAACAACTCTGAATATGAGTCAGAGGCACCTGCCACAGTGCAGATCAGAATTCATGACCTTATTAAAAGCTGATTCACAAGCTAGTGCTTATTAGAGATTGACTCCTACATGCAAAGTGGCATCAGAGCCCAAACCTAAAAATAAAGTCACGTAACCATGTAACACCTGTAGTGATCCTTCCATGAGGATGACTGAAACACAAAACCTATACTGAATAGAGTGTTAATGAGGTAAACATGGGCTCTTAGCTTTGAGAAAAAAAATACTATATTAAAAAAAAATCCCCCTGAAAACATACTTCACATATGATGAGTGATGTAACATAATGGATGCTGACATCTAAAGACAGAACAATTTATTGTCTATTGTTTTGTCTGATTCCATAAAGACCTTCAAAGTTTATCAGAGCTAACAAATCTGACAGAGCTGGAGTTTTTCTTTTATCCATAAACCTTACATGATGTACCAACCTTTATAAATTCAAAGTTTCTTTAAACATTACATATCTCAAAACCATATTACAAGAACAAAAATAACATTTGGGTGTGAATATATTTCATGAGAAATATGATTAGCATTTTTGAGGTTGAAAATTACACTCTGTATTTGTACTTAGCTCTTACATGAATAGTTTCTTTCATTAGGTACTGGACAAAAAATAAGAAATACTCTATTATTAAAAACTGTACAAGAAAACCTGTAGATGTTTTAAATTACTTTGTATGTGTTTAACTGTATTGCATTCAAGAAAATGACTTTAAACCCAAACTACATAGCCTATTCATAAAATGAGATTCTTATTGTTTCTAAAACCCAGGTCTTCCAACCCTAAGTATTGTTGTTTATTTAAAGTCTTCTAAAATCCTGAGACAAACAATAAAATATTCTTAAAAAAAAAACAAAACAAAAAAAAACTGGATAAAAATGTATTGGTTTCTAATTGCCAAGTGTAAATTTTAAACTCAATTTAAAATGTGCGCTTAGTTAAACGGTAAGCTAAAGAACTAAACATTCTTTTTTGTAATGCTGGACACAACCTGTGAAAATTTTCTGCATTTAGATTCAACAATGCTCTTATCTGCAGCTCATCTCCAGAGAGACAATTACCATTTCCTTTGCCTTGATCTTGTTTGTTTAACTTGACACAGTGAAGAAAGGGCTGACATTGACCAAAATCCCCAGCATTAATTTATTTCATGTTCAGCATTCATCATTGCCATGGTGCAAGCAAGACCTGGCATTCATTTGAAATACCTGCCCAAGCAGCACTACAGAAAAAAACCTGGCTGCTTGGAAACCAATACACTCTTCATGTGATCAGAGGGCTATGGACAGCCACAATCATGTAGGGGTTTGTTAAATTTCTCTCTTTTAAGGAATCATGTGCAGCATCTAGTTTGAAGTTAAAGTAATAAAATGTGTTTCCTTCATGGTGACACTTAAACAATTGAGCCTTGATAAGTAAAAACAGAAATGCTTGAATTATTTGGTCTTGACCCCAGAATGTATGTTCCCTTTCTTTTGATTTTCAGATTCTTTATAATGTATGAATATAATAATTACATTCCAGGTTCTCAGGTGATATGATTCTCAAATGAATGCAACTATGATTTGTAAAAGTTTTCTTTAAAAACAATTACTTTCCACATTAGAAATACTGTGTTACCTCTTCGAAGCAGATCAAGAATGGTCCAGCAGTGGTATTCCATGGCCTACCTCTTTAAAAAGCAAACTTCTTATTCACCCCTTTAAGCCATAATTAACTTGAACTTAATCTAAATTGCCCGACACAGCAGAATGTGTCTTATAAAAAGGAAAAAGAACATGCACCACATACAGCCTTATCCTTGAGGGCACAGAGATCAACCTTCCCTGGCTTCAAGCTGTCTTCTTTTTCAGAATGATGTGTGGATATCAAACTCAATCGCGAACACCCACTGACAACCAAAAGATGAAAAGCAAATACACTTGTTTCCTTTCAGGACAACTCACCTGCAAAAATTCATTGAGTTCAACTTGTCCATTTTTGTTCAAATCTACTTCATTCAGAATTTCATGTAGTGTATTCTCGTCCATTTGGATATTGATATTCTAAATAAAAGCAAAAAATAATGAGGTTTAACTAAATATTATGCAAATCCTTTTAATATAGTTACCAACTTTTCAAAAATTAAGAGAAATATGATTCATAGAAATCGCTAGATAAGAAAAAATCATCTAATATAATATTTACATTCTTTTGTTCTCCAAGATATTGAATCAAAAAAATATTACCTCTAATACACGCTGAACATCAACAATGGTAATAAAGCCCTTTTGGTCTGCATCAAACTTATGAAATCTCTTCTTGTACCTGGAATATAACATTGAATAATGGGAAAATAATCTCATGGAGGTGAAGGAAGAGAGAGAGAGAGAGAGAGAGAGAGAGAGAGAGAGAGAGACTGGTTAGAAGTACCTGTCAATGTCTGAAGGCAGCAGACTGATTTCAGAGCGATCTGTTAGCTGTTCTGATCGAGATTTGTAGCCCATTTCATAATATAGAAACTTCCTGGCTGTTTCAAGTTCTTCCTAAAACACAGACACACAGAAAGTTCAAAGACTGACGGAAAAATGTATTGATCTTTTTCTTTTGATTTTCTAAAAGGAAGCTGGCTCATCCTCACTTAACAGACCAGCATACTTTTTTATTTCTTCCAGTTTTATTGGAGTATAATTTATAGTCAATAAAACCCACCTATTTTAGATATGCGGTTTGATGTATACTGTACTGTGATCAATATATAGAACATTTCTATCACCCTAAAAAGCTTCTTTCTGCCCATTTGTAACTCATCTCTTCCTCAGGCAACCACTGATGTGTTTTTTGTCACTAGAGTTTTGCCTTTTCTAGCATTTCATGTAAAGGGTTCATACAGGAGGCAGTCTTTTGCATTTGACTGCTTCCACAGCATAATGGATTCTAAGCTTCATTCAGGTTGTTGCAAGTTTTATTATTTTGTTTCCTTTTAATGCTGAATATTCTTTCACTATCAAAATCTACGGGACCAAATCCTTGTGGTGTTGGTGGCAAAAAAGCAATTAAAAGGGAAGAAGAAACCTAGGACTTGAACAACCACTTACAACGCGGCGTGCAGTGTGCCATGACCAGGCACCATGAGTTTAGCTCTTCTGAAGTTCTGTCCCTAGGATTCTGATAGTTGGATGGAAGCTGCAGAGTAATGAGGAGAAACACACTATCCTGACTAGTTCTTCTTCCCGTTTTCAATGTCCTGGCCTCAATTGATATGATTGCTGAGAACACTTATCATCATGTCTGTCTTCCATCTAAGAATTTTCAAAAAGACTCTATTGTACTGTATAATGTTCACAAATATCTCTTTTCTCCCATTTAGCTATACATAGTATATCATGCATACTCCCCCCATAAGAACACTCTTTAACCCCATTGGTGTGAGCTTGGGCATATGGTTCACGCTGGCCAGTAGAACATGGATAGATATAATATCTACCACTTCTGAATAAAAGTTTAAAAGCAACTGCACAGCTTGGCTTCACCTCTCTTGCTCCTGCGCCAGGAGCAGGGCATACATCAGAGACATCTGAAATAATCCAGGACATGGAAAAGAGCTAACATGCAGCCTTTGTGTAATATGAGGAAAAAGTAAGTGCTTGCCATGGTAAACTAATAAGATTTTGAAGTTGTTTGTCATATACATAACCTAGAGAAAGCTTACTAATACAAGTCTTAAATTCCCCGGACTTCCCATCATTCCTATCAAAGGATCTTAGGTAGATGACAAGAACATTTGCTCCTTTTTCTTGGGAAGACAAACTATTTTTCTGAAATTATTCCCTTCCTCCTTTCCTTTCTCTTAGGATATGTATGTGCATATGCAAAAAAGCAAAATAACTATAGTATAGATAAAATTGGGAATGCTAAAATATTATCTCAGCTAATATACATATATAAAATATATAATACACTGTTATCAAAATATACTATTTTATATATATATCATACACAATATATAAGGTATATATAAAACTTGTCTGTAAAGTCACAAAAGACATTCTTTACTGGCATATTACTCTCTTCACACAAGAAAATACAGCAGCTATAAAAAACAATATTTTTCCATAGCAGCAATTTTACCTGGTCATATTCTACAAAACTGATTCAAGATCTATTTCTCTCTGATGCTTCCCTCCAACAAGTTCTTCTTTGATTCATCTCCCTGCATCACCTATGTAATTTATTTATACTCGTTCAAGCAAGGAATCATGAAATTTCAAAGTTGGAAAAGATTTTCCCCTAGAAGTCAACCAATGTGCTTCCCTAAACCCACATTTTCTTTACAATATTCCAAAAAATGGAAGCATGAGATCTGCATCTAAAGAATTCTAACCATAGGCCGATGACTCAATACCACTGAAAGTAGCCCATACAGGGTTGGTTCCAATTGATGGAAAGTGTTATGTTGAGATCAAACCCATCCCTTTGCAATCCCTGCCATTTTGGGGGGATTGGCAAGTACCTAGAAAGGAGTAACTATCCGCTTCATCGATCTAGAGATATGATTTCTATGAATGCAGCTTAAGATTGCAATTGCATTTGGGGGCAGCCATGATCCACTGTTAACTGCTATGCATTCACAGATAACAGAAACCATATTTCATTTTTGCATGTGCTGTTGTTAAGCCTTGTCAGATCTATCATGAATGGAGTTGTTTTGCTATCTATGGCAAGGTTTGCCATTTATCTCTATTAAATTATACCTAATAAAATTTCATCCCTTGCTTCAATTTGTCATCAAACATTCACGCTCCCTCCAGTTTCTTGTTATTGGTGTACCAAAGATGCATGCCATCAACATCACAACCTCAGCACTTGAAGCAAGGCAGACTAGGTCAAACAGAGGACAGAGTCCTCGTGACCTGCTTGCTACCTGAGACCTCTTCTGAGGCAAACAGTGATCATTTGGCTGATTAAAAATTGACTGATTTAAAAAAAATTATCACATGGACCTTCATAAAATGCTGTAAGGAATTCAAATACATTATGTCTAGACCATTTCCCTGACCGAACAGTCTCGCTCATCTTTATGAAAAGAAAATGAGATATCTGGAGAGATTTTTTCCTAAATACTTCATCACTAGCTTGCAGTGGTCCCTACATGTCTTGCTAAATGCTGATAACATACTTAAAATGCCATAATCTAGACAACTTTCCAAGAACAGTGCAAAGACCATGGGTTTGTAAGTTACAAACTATATTTTTCTCTTCTCCCTTTTTGGAATTCAGTGCTACATTTGCCCATCTTCTGTCTTCAGGTTCTGCTTCTATTTGCCACAATATTTTAAAGCTCAACAATGGTTAAATAAATTCCATCTGCAAATTCTCTGAGTACCCTGAGGTATAATTTTTCTGGGTTGGCATACAAACTCATTTACAGCAACCTCCTATTTGAATATCTATTTCCTCTTACCAATGTTTATTTTGCTCTTTTCACCCTGAAAATCATTCTCCTTGACCAAAAAGAGACACAACTTGGTATTAAACTACAAGTTGAAAAGCTCTTTCTTCTCTCTGGCATTCAGGAATGCGGTGCCAGTCTCCTCAAGCAATGACCTTGGTTAGGCCTCGCTTGCATTCTTTTCCAGTTTTAATGTTGTATTTTTAATTTTTTTCTTTATTGATTTTAGAGACAGAGGAAGGGAGAGGGAGAGAAATAGAAACATCAATGACAGAGAACATCAACTGGCCGCCTCCTGCATGTCCCACACTGGGGATCAGGCCCACAACCTGGGCATGTTCCCTGACGGGAATCGAACCCACGACCTCTTGGTGTATGGAACAATGCTCAACCAGTGAGCCATACTGACCTGTTTCTTTTCCATTTTTAAAAGTTATTTTATGTCCTTGGCATTTTTTTCCAACATTCAGCCAATCCCTGACACTATATACATCCATTCTATTCCTGGATACCTTTTCATTGTGAGCACGTGTCTTCCATCTGTTTTAAATTCGCTGTTTATCAGCTTCCTTGTTTCGGTCACTCCATTTCTTCACTTGCTTCCTCCTCATTGAAATCAACTTTGAAAGAATTTCTTTTTGGGAGATTCGCTCAATCTATTTAAGTTGTCCTCTCTTTAAAATCACTCAATGAAATGCATGCTTTGCCTGAAAGTTATAAAACCTCCTCACCACATACTATGGCAGCATTTCCCCAAAGATTTCCTAGGCAGCGCCGGTCTCCTTCCCCAGCCCTTCCAAAACGTGAGAGTCCAGTCTGTCTCCGAAGTTCTCCTTTTGGAGACTGACATGCGCATAAGCATTTTAAAGGCACCAAATTATTTCCAGTACAGATTTATTTAACTCAGAATTTTCCAAACTCTTTTGACCATGTAGTCATCTTTTGACTTCTACTATTCATACCCTGTGGAACCCAGTTTGGCAGTGTTCTATTTTTCAAATATCCCCGGCAACTCCTCTCAAGCCTCAATACCTTTACACAATGCTTTCCTCCCTAACTCGTTCTTCCAGGTTGGTTGAATTTAGTCTTGAATGACAGTTCTCTAAATCTTTCTTTCTTTGAAAAACATACACACATTTCTTGGGTATATCTGTGTTATAACCACTCAATTAGATTTCAAGATCCTTGAAACCATGAAGCTACTTATTATTCCCCTAAAATATTTGGTATAATGCTCAGTATACAAGTCACTCATTAAGTATTGACTGGTAAAAACAAGCACAATTCATCTACAGAGAGTTATTTATCACCTTGTTCCTCTTTCACTTTTGCAGGTTAAATAATCCCAATGCTTTTAACCTTTTCTCAGAAGTCCAGCTTTCTAACCTTTAATTCTTTTTCCCCCTTCTCCTTTGTTCTCTCCAGACTATCCACAGACCTCATTAACACTCCGGTGTCTCGGATACTTAGTAATAACTTCAGGTCTTTTATTTCTGTTACTTTGTTGAGGGGGATGGGAGAATATTCCCGAGTACATAAATCTGCTCATAAAATTTGAACTGAAGTTAAATCTAGTTTCCTCAGGAGGGCTGAACACACCAGTTTACAGAATTTTCTTCCTCCTTTCTACCTCCTACAGCCTGAATTCCTGGCACAAAATTTCTTCCTGCATATTCAAATCATTCCAACCATCATCTTTACAGGAACACATCATCCTCGGTCCTTCTATATGCTGAACGTGATTGGCAGTGGCACAGGAGGGCGTTCCATTCTGTGTTGCCTCTGTACGTAGCTTCAGCTGATCACACCGAACCTGAAAACAGGAAGAACTCTAACCCAGCCCCACCGAAGCGGAGGCAAATGGGCAGGGCGGGGAGAGCACTCGCTCCGGGCTCAGAGTGCCACTTCCAATCCACTAGTTGTATGAACTCTGACTGGGACTTACTCCCCTAGCCTATTTCCTCAACTCTGAAAGGGGGTAAAGGTTTATGCCTGACAGAGTTGCGGTCAATGTTAAGGAGCTCTTTCAACCGGTGAATTTGATCAGCAGCATACTACATACATTGCATTGACATTACAAGAGAATTTTTTAAATGGAGGGCCATGGTTTCATCTCTGAGGACTCGGACTCTGGCTGTCTAAAAGACAACCCTTGAAATATGCCCTTTTCCCCGACATTTCCCAGGTGACTCTGATAGGTAACCATCTTTGGGAAATCTACACCAGAATGAGAACAATTTAAGGACAGGACCTATACCCAGCCATCCCTTACACATATGACATAGATGCGCAGTAACGTTCATTCACTCATTCGGTGGACATTTATGTAGGGTCCCCTCTATTTGTTGGACACTGAGTACATGGAAACAAACAGGTCATGTCTTCTTCGAGGAGCTATTTCCTGGCGGAGAGGCTGACAACAAGTAAACACATGGTATGTCAAACAGAAACAGACACTAAAGAGAAAAGTAAACTAGAGAAAGAGGTAGACCACGTCCTTTAGATGGGGGAAGGGGCTCCTTTTACTCAACCCAGTGAAGGAAGGTCTCTCTGAAGCAGAGACCAGTAGGAAGTGAGGGAGAAGGCCATGAGGATATCTAGGGAAGAGCATTCCAAGCAGAAGCATCACCAGGACACAAATAAAAAACAACAACAACTTGACCTGTGGGTTGGAGGGAAGTGGAAACACCAGGGATCGGAAAGATGGTGGCCAGATCATGAAGGCCTTGTAAGCCGCTGTAATGGCTTTGGCTTTACTGTGAGTAAAAGGATGTTTTAGCAAAGGAATTGTTAAGTTTCCATCCTCGTCTTACTAAACCTTTCAGCAGCATTTGATACAATAGATTACTTTCTTCTTCTTGAAATCCTTTCTGGTCATAACTTTCTCTTGAGTCTTCCCACACTTTCTCCAGCCTCACTAGCTATCACTTTCCCTTTCTCCTGGGTTCTTCCTTTTCTCTCCAGCTTCCAAACTCTGGAGTGCTCAGGGCTCTGTCCTTGGACTGCCTACTGATACCCAACCACATGAACTCCCTGCATCTCATCCAGTCTGATGGCTTAAATACCAACTCAGCTGTTCCTCTGAACTTCAGACTGGCATATCCAATGATCTGGCTTATGTTTTAATAGGATCACTGAAGTTGTTAAAGCAGGGACCTTGGTTTAGGGGAGGGAAGCTATTACAATAATCCACGTAAGATATGCTGAATCAGGGTGAGAGCAGTGAAATTGTGTTAAGAGTCAAATTCAAACCATGATTTGAAGGTAAATATGATGAGGTCTGCTAATGGATGTAGATCAGATTCTCATACCAAGATTTAGTTCTATTCAACCAAATAAGGAATAGCTATGTATAGCATCCTGAGGTTGGTCATAGTGGCGTTAGTAGTTTGGGGAAGGTACAAGGAGACACAAAAGAGGTGTTGCTGTGGACTGAATTATGCCTCCAAAATTCATATTCTGAAGTCCTAACCCCAATGTGGTGGTATTCAGAGATGGAGCTTTCGGGGGGTGATTAGGTTCAGGTGAGTCTTGAGGGTAGGGTCCCCCTCTCCCTCTCTTTCTCCTCCACACAGGACACAGCAAGAAGGCAGCTGTCTGAAAGCCAGGAAGAGGATTCTCACCAGAACCCAACAGTGCTTGCACCCTGATTCCAGATGTCTAGCCTCCCCACCTGCAGCATTCTGGCATTGCAGCCTGAGTAGACTGGGACAGGTGGTGTTCCAGAAAGTAGCTCACGGAGTAAGGAGGAATCAAGTGTGTCAATGCCACTAATCAGCTGAGTAGAGAGAAGGTGGAGGGTTGGCAAGTATATTGAGCGACATGGTTACTGGTGAGTGCGACCAGAGCTACTACAACAAAGTGGCAGCAAAGGGCCTAAAGGGAACGGGATTGAAAAAGACAATGTGGGAAAGCACAGAACCAGTGTGTACAAAAGTAACTTCTGAATGAATACATGAAAATGACTGCATAACACAGCAGTTTAGTTTTTAAAAAAAAACAAAAACATGAAGATCTTCTGTTTATTACAACAAACCCAGGGCTGTATATGTGGGCATCTGAACATCGCTGGTTATCTTTTTTTAACTTGGATATAAATATAAAATTTCAAATGACACAAGTCAATACGCATTTGGTGGTCAAGCAATCAAACCAAAGGCGATTGGTTTCCTACCAAAGGCAGATTTTCAGGAGTGTGAATTTCACTGTCGTTTACATTCTAAGAGTGTTTTCAATGAAAACCAGAAACAGGTCTGCCCACAACCATTATCTTCTCTTTTAAGAATTATAATCATGAATTTGAGAGCACTTTTCTGTAAGAGTTTTTCCAGAAATGTTGGTACAAGAACATCTTTCCACTTTCCTAAAACCTGGCAGCATGAAACACACACACAGACATTGGCAAGCAATCCAAAGTCACCACGAAAACGATGCTAGCCTCTACTAACAGATTGGGACATTGCGTGTTTGTAATGGTTACTGTGGGTTTAAAGACTTCCATATAGTACCTCTTTTTTAGAATCATCCCAATTCAGTTCTCTGCCCATGAGTTCGACAATCCTGGGCAGGGCCTCCTCGGCCGCCTGCACGTTCAGAAAGGCCAGGCGAGTGCGGCGGGAAATCATGTCCACTGCGGTGCAGGCATACTCCTTAATCCCGTACTTCACCTGAGTTTGAATTAAAGTAACATTACTAATTTAGGCTTTTTTTTTTTAAAAAAAAGGAAATACAATTTCGCCGAAAAAAAACCGTGCTTCGGAAAAGTGACATTTCTCTTTATAAACTCTGGTGCTGTAGCAGGCACGAGACAGTGACATCATGCAAGTTCCCGTCTGCCTGCCAAAGGAGTTTGGAAACTGAGACAAATTGGATAGGAGTTACTGCCTTCTTTCTGAATAGAGCCTGGCACACACACTGGAAAATCGCTTCTCATTTACCATCCACAGTAATCGCGTACCCCTTTGCTTATACATAATATGGATGCTAATTTACATAGCTGAGTAGGCAAAGAACGCATATTAAGAAGTTATGGTTGCATCTCTTCAGGCTGTCCAAAGATTTCGGTCTCAGTAGCCAAATGACAGAAGTCTCGCCTTCAATCAATAAACAAACATTTACTGGATGCCCAGGTTTCAAGGTGAAGTGAATTATAAGTAAATATAAAGCATGGTCTCTGGTTTCATAAAATGTGAAACCTCAAAGAGAAACAAAGCTTAAATCTCTGAGAAGTTAAGTGTCGTATCAAGATACGTCATCACGAGTGGTACAAGAGTAGCAAATTCACACAAAAAGCCAACAAGTGTGAATTAACAAGACTTGGGACAGCTCTGTGGAGGAGAAAGAAACTCTTCATTTTCTATTATTATTGTTACCATTATCAATATTGATTTAGAGTTAAAATAAGAATGTATAAATGAAAAAAGCTAGGCTCAACAGACAAATTTACTCCAGGTTTTAGCTCACATATGTGCATTATAACTTAGCTATGTTTTAAATTTTAAAGAAGATAAAAAACAAAACAAAACAACACAGGTGAATGGTATCCCATGCAGACAGGAGATTCCACATGGCCACTCACATACCTCTGCTTCAATGTATGGAAATTCTGACACAAGACGCACTCCGACAATGGGCCACCTTTTTCCAGTCACACTCGCCATTTTGGCCACCTCAAAAGCCTTGTCACCATAGGTGGCGGCAAGATGCTGTGCCACCTGGGGAAACAAAACTGCATTAGGCTAGTACTCTGGATATCAAGAGCTTCTAGGTACAAAGTAAAAAAAAAAAAAAAAAATGTACAAGCTTATCCTGTCAGCTTTGCAGAGCCTGTCACTACCAGTTCTGGGAAAGCATTCGATTTTGTTTTGTGGGAGGACACCACTGGGGCCGAATGCTTAGGCCAGCACTAACTCTGCTGCACATGTATCACTGTATCAGTGACTGATGGAGCTTCAGCTTCATTCTGCTCCCGGCAGCACTTCTGGAGAACAGCTCTCCTGATGCTCGTGATAGGAAGCATTTGGGATGCCCTGTCTGCTAGGAACAAAGCAAACAGACCCCAGATTTTAAAACTGGAACTAAAATGTGCATTGTTTTTTTAGGCTACTAAAGGAAACAAACCCCCTCTTTTTTTCCCTTTCTTCCATTATTCACGTCCATAGTACAAAGACAGAAATGCCCACCGATCACCCAAGTTCAGTGCCTTGCAATAGGAACCCAGCAAAAGGAAATTCTAAGTTAGGGAGGCCACACGGCTGCCGATTCTGCTCCTGGGAACAGTGAGGTCAGGTACAGGGTAGGATGATACGGCCATGAACACGCACCTCGCTTTCAAGTCCATAATCCTGGACAAGCCTGATGTAGAGTGTGGGGCTCCAATCTTTGCCCCCTTGAAGAAAAAGCCCAACTGTTCTACTCGGTCCTGCTTTCAAATTATGCGCCTTGATAGCAGCATTTATGGTATCTTCTGCCATAGATCGATAGGTTGTCCACTTGCCTCCTACAAGTAAGCCAATCAATAATTCAGTAGGTTACTACCCCTTATTTTTTTAAAAAATAATTAACCACTTATCCGCTTACGAATAACAAACCCACCTATTGTTTACAACAAATATGGCAAAACGATGTGTTGTATTTAGAATCATAAAATAAGTAAATTAATTAATTAATTAATAAGTATCTGTTGATTAGAGTTAAAAGAGATGCTAGTGTGACCACTGGACTCAAGCCCTATCTAAAGCTTTCCCAAATCACAAGGTAACACTCCATACCTGCTATAGTGATGAGGCCGCTCTCACTGATGTCCACAACATGATTTCGGGAGATGGACTGAGTGTCTGCAGAGTTGGGGTCTATAACAAGGGGACGAATGCCACTCCACGCTGCCAGGACGTCCCCTCTTCTCACTGGGAAGGATCAATGACAAGGGTTAAGAGGATTATTCAGAGACATCTCATCAAAACTATGAAATCGTTAATAAGCAGGGAAGAGTACAGCAAAGGGAACACATGAATATGCACTTCAAAAGGAAGAGAAAGCCAAATGTAAGAACTGAGTAGGTAAGTACAAGAAAAACTCAGTTATTTTGTTACAAAGATAATATCCATGAGAAAGAAAAAAGTAAAAAACTTGGAAGTCACTGACACTGGTACCAAAGAGGAAACAAAAGAAACAAATGTTAGCAACCTTCAGCTGGGGACAACAAAAAAGTCAGAAACAAAATAAAAACAAACCAATAGACTTACAACTTACTGTATTTTCTCCTAGAATATGTCTTGCTATCTCTTCTCAGGGAAGACAAAGATCCTTAATTGAGCATTTACAGCAGACCTAACCTCGCCAAAGCACTTGGCACACACATTTCATCTCAACCTCACAAAGCCCCATACCATCGGCTACTATTATCCCCACTGTACAGATGAAAAAAGGGATGGGAAATGTTTAACTAACTGGCCCAAAGCAAACACCTTATAAATGATAGAGCAGCACAGTCTTGCCCATGGAACTGCACTGTCTCTCAACTGCTGACACTTTCCATACTCTTCTTTTCTTTTTTCATCCCATTATCTTTATAATTGCCACAAAAACAGGCATACAGTCTCCTCTCAATAGGTACACAATACTTGTGTTATAGTGTATGTACATTCTTTGAAAATTCAAGATACTATGAAAATTTTCTTACTATCTCTGCCAAAACATAATTACCCCTCCCATACCAAAAATTGATAATATTTAAAACAAAATTGGACAGCAGTTGCAAAGCACTCTTTATTGACCTAAAAATGGTTCTGAAGAGTCGCCCAATAGTGGTTCTGATACACCATCAGGGAGGAGAAGGGCAAGATCTATAGCAGAGCTTTCAGAATCTACTCTTCTTTAGCCAGATCAGCTTTGGGGTGGCTTAGGTTTTTCCTCTCCACTCTCCACATCAAGGAGCTGAGCCTGTGCACCAATTCAACAGCTGCCTAATGATGCAGACTCTGAGAAGGTGATTGCTTACCTGGTCCTGTTACACTTACTTTGGTAAACTAGTTAATCCATCCCTGGATAACAGAAAAATGCAATTTTGCTTCAACCATAACTTAGGGTCATTTTCCATCTTACTCCCAGCCATTACCCACAGTGATAAAAAACAAAAACAAAAACTGACTATATATAGTCTTAAAAACATCAAGAAAATGGGAAAACTGAATATCCACATGTAAAAACATAAAGTTATGCCCTTGCTCTCTACCATATATAAAAAGTAACTCAAAATGCATCAAAGACCTATACCTAAGAGCTAAAACTATAAAACATTTAGAAGAAAATATATGGAAAGATCATGACATTGGATTTGGCAATTATTTCTTGCATATAACACCAAAGACACCTGCTATACACAAATATAGATAAAATAAACTCTATCAAAATTTAAAATGTTTGTACTCAAAGACATTATCAACAGAATGAAAAAGTAAGCCATGTAATGGGAGAAAATATTTTCAAATCATGTATCTGAAAAGAGGTTAATATCTAGAATATATAGGAACTCCTAAAACTCAATAACTAAAAAAACAAACAACTCAATTGAGAAATGGGCAAAAGGTCCAGCTGGTGTGGCTCAGTGGTTGAGCGCTAAACCCATGCACCAAAGGGTCACCGGTTTGATTCCTGCTCAGGACACATGCCCAGGTTGTGTGCCTGATCCCCAGCTGGAGGCAGGCAGAAGACGGCCAATAAATGTTCCCTCTCATCTATATTTCTATCTTTCTCCCTCTCCCTTCCTCTCCCTCTCTAAAATCAATAAAGGAAAAATATTTAAAAAGATCTGAACAAATATTTATCTAAAGATGTACAAATGGCCAATAAGTACAGGAAAGGATGCTCCATATCACTAATCATGAGAAAAATACAAATGAAAACCACAATGATACACAGCTTCATACCCATTAGGATGTTATTATAAAAATTTAAAAAAAACAAAAAACAGAAAAGAACAAATATTAGCAAGAAAGTGGAGAAATTGGAATATTCTTAAATTTTAGATAGGAAGGTAAAATGATGCAGCTACTATGGAAGTGCATGGAAGTTCCTCAAAAAATTAAACATATAACTAGCAGATGATCTAGCAATTATACTTCTGGGTTCATACCAAAAAGAACAGAAAGCAGAGAAAATCTCAATCCATAGCAGCATCGTTCATAATAGCCAAAATGTGAAAACAACTCAGCTGTCCAAATGGATAAACAAAATGTATTATCTGCATGCAAAGAAATATTATTTAGCCTTAAAAAATAAGGAAATTCTGACACACACTATAGCATGGAAGAACACTAAAGACATTATGCTGTGAAATAAATCAGACACAAAAGGATAAATATTGTATGATTCCATTTATATGATATCTCTAGAGTAGTTAAATTCATAGAGACAGAAAGTGAAACAGTGGTCACCAGAGGGAGGGGTGCAGGAGAAATGGGGAGTTAGTGTTTAATGGGCACAGAGTTGGGGAAAATAAAAATATTCTGGATATAGGTGGTAGCACAAAGCATGTGAATATATTTAATGCTACAGAATTGTATACTTAAAAATTGTAAAAATAGTAAATATGATTTAATGACAATTGTAGAAATCCAAGAAAAAAGGAAAATTTGACATAATTCAAGTTTGAGAAGATAAAGAAGTATTTTACATAAAGTAGTGGATTTCAGATCACACTACTCCATGGTCAGGTGCCTTCATACAGTGACCCTCTTAGACATTTATACACAGCAGCCCCTGAAAAGTATTTAGATATATATCTAGCAGAGTCTCTGTAGAGTCACAAAGACTCCTTGGAATGATTGGAACAGTCCACCAAAAAAAAAAAAAAAGAAAAAAAAAGTGCCTAACCAAATACAGGGAAAAGACTCCAAAAAGAAGTTATATTGGAACTAAAGTAAATCTAGCCACATTGTTAACATGATCGGATTCTGAAAGAAGAGATACCCATATACCTCTACAGGGGTATCTAGTCAAACCCATATCTAAGTGCCAAGTCTGAAACAAAGGCAGAAGAAACATAGCTGGTGAGGAGAGCCTCAGGCTTCAGGCTTCTTAACTGGAGACCAAGGGAGTCTTGGTGCTGGGATTCTTGTCGGAGGGCTGCCCCTCTGAGGGGTGCATTCTCTCACACAGGTTTAAGTCCAGTGGCTCACATGGAATAGAGGTTAATTCTTGCTTCACAGGATTACACAGAAGTCTTGTAAAATCTCAACACAGATCATGCAATGTCTTAATCTTTACAAAAAGCCTAACTAGGAAATTACCACTATTTTCCATTAGAGTTCAAATCACCCTCTGAGTTAAAAATAAAACTTAGCCAACCACTTAGAACGTCACTGTGGTCTCCACAAAGTCTGCAGAGTGTGTCTGTGAAATTCCTTCGGTAGCCACGCTGACCAGGAATTTGGTTTCAACTTTTAAAGCCCTCTGACTGATTTTTAAGTTATTTGATGGAAAATTAGGCTTTCTAGAGTAAACCTGAAGCATATGCAAAAAATCTTTGCAGCAAATGCTTTACCTTTTCTGGTATAACAGGAAGAAAGACACATCTATGAAACTGTGTTGTCTGAAAAAAAAAGACCGAACTAAAACATTTCAGTTTTTCATTCATAGAGGAACATTAAATAAAACACTATGTATACTGACACCATTTTTAATCCCACTCTTAAAACTGACACAATAAAAGAAAACACTACCAAGAAGCGTGCATAGTGTGTTAGGAACTTACATTTATGTTGCTCGATAACTTAACATTCAGCTTTTAGCCTAAGAATTATATCAGGAAATTTTGTGATTAAATTTATTTTTCAAAGATACATTTAAGGGCAATCAAGTTTTAAATCACATTTAAAATATGAATCAGCCCTGGCCGGTTTGGCTCAGCGGTTAGAGCGTCCGCCTGCAGTCCGGAGAGACCCGGGTTCGGTTCCCGCTAAGGGCACGTACCTCGGTTGCAGTTTGTCCCCGGCCCTGGTTGGTCGAGCAGGTGGCAGCCACTCGATGTGTCCCTTCACATCGATGTTTCCCTCTCTCTCTCTTCCTCTCTCTCCCTCCCACTCTATCTGTACAAAAAAATGGAAAAATGTCCTCGGGTGAGGATAAAAAATAAAAAAATAAAAAAAATAAAATAAAATATGAATCAGTCTTTATGGCCTGCAGAACTTTTTACATTATCAAACCAGAGGTGGTTGGATCAGGTTATTTCTCTACCAGTTTTCTCTCAACCTGGAGATTTAATAATTTTTATAGATTACTCAAAATGCTATTTACTGCTGAAAAATAAAGAAGGGCTTGTATCTCTTCACCACCCAAATTTGGTAATGACCAGTCAGGCCTCAGGTATAATCTATGGCTGTGAGGCAGAGCATAGCTAAGTACATGAAACGTGAATTCTAACCTCTTGTATAAAAGACAGCAACTAACTGAACAAAACCGCTTTTTCTCCTTATCACCCACAGTAATATTCGCCCACAGTGGAAACCCTGTAAACCGTTAAACAAACATGAATTAAAGTTCTCTGAAGAAAAGAAACTCAAATGCAGTAGACAGACAGCACAGAGAACCTTTTATTATTGCTTGGAACTGCTGCAGCCATGTTGTAGCCAAGAGGAAAACAATGCTCATGAAGCCAACTTGCAGGATAGCAAAATGAAGAGAAACAAGGGCCATGCACCTAAGATACTGCTGAGTCATTCAAGTAATCACCTCTTGATCCTTCTCATATCTGGAGTTCTTCTTTTACAAGATAACACATTATTTAATATAGCAAAAAAAATACAGATTCAGTGACTCTATTAAATTATTTCCTTCTCTAAAGGTATACATAAATCCCTCCAGATTCGGCTGAGCAACACTGTTCCACAGACCTTTCTGCATGATG